ACTAAAGATAAATTTATATAATAAGGTTTATATCATAAATCAGTAGAACTAATATCGCTTATACTAGTTATAATATATAAACCATCTAAACTAGTACTTCCTGAATTAGCATATATTAAACCTGTTCCTAATAGAATAAAACATGAACTTAATCCTCCTAATAAGAAATACATTAATCCTCCTGTAGTAGATAATTCTGAATTTCTGTATATAGTACTTAATATATATAAACCATAACTTTGAAGTTCAATAGCTAGGAAAATAGAAACTAAATCATTAGTTGACATTAAGAATATAGCACCAGTAATTATAAATAATAATATTAAAGGATATTCTATTATTTTAAATTGTTCTCCCATTTTATTTATAATTTTAGTATTATAATATACAAATTTATTTAATACTAAATCTTTTAAAGATGAATATTCTGATACTCACACTTTTCTAGGATAAAAACTAGTTAATGTTAATATTAGTATACTAACTATAAATAAAAAAATATGGAATATTTGTGTGATATTTGTAATTAACAATAAACCTCCATGTAGACCTATACCTTTAGTTACTACAGTTAAAGAAGAAATATCATTTAAAATACAATAAACTAATATTAATATTGCAATTCTATTATATAGAATTGATATATCACGTCTTACATTGACGGCGTTAGAAAGTAAAAGAGATAAAATAGATATTATTATCATTGGATAAATTATATAATGAGGTAAACAAAGGACTTGATCTGAGGATGCTCGTATCTTCGTTTATTATAAATTGTAATATTTATACAGCCTGAGGAGAGAATCGAACTCTCATCTTTAATGTATGAAATTAAGGTTTTAACCATTAAACTACTTAGGCTTTTAAAACGTAGCACACATTTTTTATGCTACGCACAAAGTGGATAAAACTATCCATTTTATTGTTATTGTAAAAAGGAACTGATTTCCTTTTATGGGAGGATACCCTGACTCGAACAGGGAACTTACTGTGCCACATACAGTCGCTCTACCGATTGAACTATATCTTCCTTTTTATAATCT